AAAAATATTTACCACAAAAATATCCGCGGTGAGACCCGTTCTTCTATGGTATATGCGATTCATTATTTTTTTATTCATATTAGATCTGTTTTCTAAAGATTATACATAAACATCCGGACGAATGTTATAAATGAGAGTGTCTGTCAGTCTGTGTGTTACCACTGCACTACTCAACTAATTTGATATCGTCGATTAAATAGAATAATTACATTTATCAAAATTAGAAGCTAGAATTGCCTCCTTTTGTATAAGTCAATTAAATTAACCACGCCGTCTTAATCATTATCTAAATTCTTTTAAAATGATATACAACACTTGTGTGTAAATTTAAAATATTTAAAGAAAACAATAATTTAAATAAATTTATAAACTTTCAATGCTTGTCTTGTAAATAATGTACATTTTGAATGCTGACATTTTTCTGAGCCAAATAGTTTACAAAATGCAAATACTATTTATTATCAAAATAGTTCATTGAATTATTGACGACCTCTAGCACACCGCTTTAAGACCGATGGTCGCGGGTTCGATTCATCGCACGGCACAAACATTTGTATTCATGAGTATGATTGTTTGTATCGGTCTGGGTGTTTCCTATGTAAAATATGTATGTATTTACAAAAAAAAATCTATGTATATGTATCAGTTATGTAGTACCCATAACACAAGCTTTAGCTAGCTTAACTTGGGTCTAGATGGCGGCGCTGTGTGAATTGTCCTGAGATTATTATTATTATTATAATGATGTATTTTAGAGCATTTAACATAATATTAATAATAAATATAAATACAAACTTGCTGTCCCCAAGTATTGTTCATTCTATGGCTGTAAAATCTTTATTCCTTTTGAAATCGTTAGTCATGAGTGTTGGGGTGTATGTATGTATGTTGGTTGGGTTGGTGCATCAGTGCAATGCAGTGCAGTGGAGTGGAGCGGAGTGGAGCGGCGCCGCCGGGCCGGTCGGGGCCGCGCCACTAGTATGTGGGCCGTGGGACATTTGACCTCCCCTCGCCTCGCCGCTACATTTTGAAAGTAGCAACATGCGACCTCAAATTAACTCAGCTGATGCATAATATCTGATTTTATAACTATTTTATATTAGCTACCAGCTTATAGTAAATATTTTTCTTGCTATTTCTATGAACTTTAAATACTTACTCAGCACATATATTATATTATACATTTACAAGTTCCCTTATATTACATTTATAATAATATACATATACAGTGGACCTATACATTGATATGGTCCGTCTTCATGAAGGTACTCGTATTTCCTTTTGACAAAAATTCAGTAACATATGTTGTGAATATAGTGACAATATTCTCCCTAATTGAATTTAAAAAAGAATCTGTATTTCTTTAATCTATACATATAAATGAAATTGGAGTGTCTGTTTGTAATATTGAAATAACAGTTTTTTACTACTTGCATATGAATATAAATACGTTCCATACACCAAAAAAAACACTATTTACAATTTTTGTCTATCTGTCTGTCGGTCTGTTTATTCCGGCTTATCTCTGAAATGGCTGGACCGATTTTAACGAGACTTTTTTTGGCAGGTAGATGATGTAATAAAGAGTAACTTAGGGTACTTTAATAAAGTTAAATTCCACGCGGACGAAGTCGCGGGAACTGCTAGTCTGTAATAAAAACAAGGTAATTTGAAAAGAATAAGAGCAGAGTTTCTTGTCAGTTATTCTCAACTCAAAAGCACTCCGAACTGACGGTAGATTTGACGTTTCATAAGAGTCTGTGAAACACCTGCATGAATAATGATATTTTGTTGTACCTAGCAGACAAACCTAGCCTACCTTTTCAAAGGTTTATTTCAAACTAGCTTTTGCCCGCAGCTTCGCTCGCGTCAATTTATCCCCTTAGGGGTGAAATTTATCAAAATCCTTTCTTAAGGGATGCCTACGTCATAGTAGCTTTATGCGTGCAAAGTCTTAGCGCGCTAGGTTTAAAATTGACAAAGTTTCATGCAAACTTTCATCCCCTATTTTATTCACTTGGGGGTAGAATTAATCAAAATCCTTTCTTAGCGGATGCCTATGTCATAACATCTACCTGCATGCCAAATTTGAGCCCGATCCGTCCAGTGGTTTGGGCTGTGCGTTGATAGATCACTATGTCACTCAGTCTGTCACCTTTGAGTTAAATATATTTAGTATAACCACAGATAACATAACGTATAACATTGATATCTCACATTTTCTTGTGTATGTATAACAAATACATAAAGTTCAATAAATCTGCAAATCGGATGTGATGTCAGACGTAGCGTCCTCCATCAACTTAGGGTCATGTGAGCGAGTGTCGGTGGCAGTAGCTGTCGTCGTTGGACGGTAGCCGGCGACCTTCGCCGCCGCCGCGCCGCCGTCACCGTCGTCACCGTCGTCACCGTCGTCACCGTGTACCAGTTACCGCTACAGAGCTACAGAGCTGAGCCCGCGGGCTCGTTCATTAACACCACCCGGGGCTAACCGCTTAAGACGTTTAGGAAATGCCGCGTTATGTTTCCGCTATTGATAAGATCACACACGGTCACACACGGTCACATTTATGTGACATGACATCATACGTACTTTTTATATTAGGGAAATCCGTCTGAAGAATATCTTAATTAATTAAATGTACTAATTAAGTGCAGTAAGCTATATATACTGTTGTACATATAATATATATATAAAACTTCCTCTTGAATCACTCTTATCTATTGAAAAAAACCGCTTCAAAATCCATTCTGTAGTTTTAAAGATTTAAACAAACATAGGGACGGACAGACAGCGACGGCGACTATGTTTTATACTACTGAGTTTCTTGTCAGTTCTTCTCATCTCGAAATCATACCGAACTGACGGTAGATTTGACATATCATATGAGTCTGTAATAGACCTACATGAATAAAGATATTTTGAATTTTGACTATGTAATGATGATATACATAACTTAATTATATAATTAAATGTTGTAGTAGTTTATCAATTAATAAAAATCTATATATACAAATAAAATTGGAGTGTCTGTTTGTAATATTGAAATAACCGTTTTTTACTACATGCATATGAATATAAATACGGGACATACACCAAAATAACATTTATTACAATTTTTGTCTGTCTGTCTGTTTGTTCCGGCTAATCTGTGAAATGGCTGGACCGATTTTGACGGGACTTTTATTGGCAGGTAGCTGATGTAATAAGGAGTATTAACTTACTACTCAACTTTTATTTTAGAAAAGTTTTCATATTCTTTTTGTTAAATTCCAAGCGGATGAAATCGCGTGTACAGCTAGTTTTTAAATAAAAAAGCTATAATTATTATGCGGAAAAAATTTAAACCTCCGATATAATTGTCTGTTGATTACCGAGAGATGAAGTCACTACTGTTCGCTGAGTCACTTTGTTATCCAGCTAGCTATACACGCTACGTATGTCCTAAACCCCTCCGATCGATCCCCCGTCCAATTCAAACGGGGATCCAAATTACGACGTCCTGAGCCGAGGTTCGAACCTCTAGTGGTGCCCTCAGACTAAAGTCGTATCCGTCAGGCAGGAGTTGGCCTTCAGCCGCTCCATAAGTTTGGAGTGCCATGCACTGCCCCCTATCGTCTGGTGTAGCTGTAAAGGCGGCCAGCTGCGGACAACAGCATTAGAGTAGTCCGAAAAAAAAGTAATCCAAAACTACATCGCGTGTGATATAAGCGATAAATCACAAGTGGAAAGTAACATAATGGAACGCTATGAGTTGCGCAGAGGGACAGCGGCTCTAGCGTCGTCGTGGTCGGGATTAGAATGGTTACAAAATCGAGAGGCGGCCGATGAAAGGCGACTCAGTCCGTAGGAGGCTGCGGGCGCTGCCTGCGGAGGGTCGCACACGCGCAGGTTGCGACACCGCCGGCATCGGCGCCGGGCCCAGCTGTACCTGTGTCTGTAGCTTTTTTTTCAAGGGATGTATTGGGCAAGGAACAGACAATGTTATCTGTGCGAATCACAAACTCACAATATACCACAGTTATGTGTGTAAAAAACTATTAAACCTTTGCGATAAGTATTTTTCATTCGAGAAAAGGAGCCGTCTAAATGTCAAGATGATAGAGATTATCATAGTTTGTCAATGATGTCATGATCCGTATACAATGGGTAGTATGTAAACCAGTTGAGGGCGTACATTGTCAATGTAAAGTAACTGTTAAATAATAGAGTGATGATACTGAATGTCTAAATTGTACGTGTTGAGAACTGGAGATGAGGATGTCGGGAGCTGCTCCCCGGGGACCCCGCCGCCGCCCGCTGCCTCCGTCTCCAGGTGAACATGAACAGAACTCATGCCGTGACCACATGCAGCACTGCTCCCCTACACTGGCCTCAGTTTATCTGTATTTTAACGGTTTACTGTTACGAGTGATGTTGCTCGTACTAAGTTTTTTAAAGGACGTGTATATGACTATATGATTTATGATCATTGATATGTATTATATTATAAGAGGTAGCTGTGTATACACTACAAGCACTATGGACATCACGTAATGAAGCCACTCATGCGTTATCATTCCATTTCAATTACAATGAAACTGAAACATGAGTATGCGGAGTACAGTAATCATCAAACAATACTTTTATGTAATTATATATATAAATACATAGTATAAATATTTATATTTCAAACCTAGCGGATATCACTAAAAATTTGAAATAATGTTGATTCTTTTTTTATTGGGTTTGGGCTATTGTCAAGTGCCTGTAGTACCTGTAGAACTGCGATCTATTGTGCTCGCCCTATTCAAGGTCTCTACCTAGACCCGTCAGGGACAAGAATTGGAGGATATTCTTAGGAGCGATGGTCTATATCTCCTCGGAACGGTTGTAACTGGCTCCTGTTATATAGTTTACATTACATAGTTCTTATTGTTATTGCATATTTAATGTTTAGGAAAGTAGTTGTATAATTTTGAGCGTACTTTATTGATGTGTGTGCGTGTGTGCGTTGCAGGCGATGCGAGGGTGGTGCGCGCGGTGGTGGAGCGGCGGGTCGCGGTCGCGGCTGCGGTGGCTGGCGGCGCTGCTGTGCTGGGGCGCGCTGGCCGCGCTGGCGCTGCCCCGCCTGCAGCCGCCGCCCCCCGCCGCCCCCGCCCCCGCCCCCGCCGCCGCCGCCGCCCCCGGGGGCCGGGCCGCGCGCCTGCTGCTGCAGTCGGAGCCAGCGTCCACGGCGCCGCCCGGGCTGCCGGCCACCGACACGCGCGTGCTGTCAGAGGACGAGCTGCGCGCCGACGCCGAGCGCCGCCTGCCCTCGCTGCCGCTCGCCTACTGGCACAAGCACAAGGACGACAAGAATAAGTTCCTCAAGAAGAAAGACTGCTCCCCGTTCCCCTCCATATACGATCTCGAGTTCCACAACACCTACTGGCAGACGTTGCGGTCGAGCGAGGGCGTGTTCCACTTCTACGGGGCGTACCTGGACGCCAGGAACGCGTCCCGCATAGGGCCCGCGGTGCGCGTGCTGGCCGTGCACGACCGCATCAAGCCGACCGTCGTCTCCCACTGCCAGCTGTGGTTCGAGGAGCACACCGCGCCCGTGGTCGTGCGCAACCTAGAGTACAAATACATTTGGAACAGCAAGTGGGGCAACTACCGGGACCACGTGCTGCAGCCGTACCTGCTGGCGTGCGTGCTGCCGCAGGAGGTGCGCCACCTCGTGCCCGCGTCGGTCTCCATCGTGGAGAACCCGTGCGACCGGGCCACTAACAATCTGCGAGTTCACAACGATCGCCCGGACCCGGCGGTCGGACGCAAGGAATTCGCCGTTTGCGTGAAGGGACTCGACTTCCTCCACGAAGACTTATCCGTGAGACTCGTCGAGTGGATCGAGTTCGTGAGGTTGATGGGAGCGGACAAAGTGTTCTTTTACGAGTTACAAGTGCACCCGAACATAACGAAAGTGCTCGATTATTATGCGGAACAAAACGTGGTGACGGTGACGACGGTCACCTTGCCGGGCGGGCAGCCGAACCTGCCCGGGCTGCAGCACATGTATCTGAAGAAGAAGACGACGCACAAGCGCCAGATGGAGCTGATCCCGTACAACGACTGCCTGTACCGGCACATGTACGAGTACCGGTGGCTCGCGCTGCTCGACATCGACGAGGTGATCGTGCCGCTCGAGGACGACGACTGGAGCTCGCTGATGAGGCGCGCGCTGCCGCTGTCGAAGCCGGCCGAGGGCAAGCCGCCGCGCAGCTCGTACCACGCGTCCAACCTGTACTTCCTGGACTCGCTGCGGCACGAGCACGGCTGGGAGGACGGCGTCCCGCGCTACATGCACATGCTGCAGCACGTGTACCGCACGCGCAACTTCACCAAGCCCGGGCAGTACGTGAAGGCGTTCCACGAGACGGACCGCGTGCTGGCGCTGCACAACCACTTCCCGCTGGCGTGCCTGGGCGGCGCGTGCTCGTCGTACGCGCTGGAGACGCGGCACGCGCGCCTGCAGCACTACCGCGCCGACTGCGTCACCGCGCTCAGCAAGTCCTGCGCCGAGCTGCGCGCGCAGCCGCAGCGCGACGAGGCGCTGTGGCGCTGGCGCGACCGGCTCGTGGCCCGCGCCCACCGCGCCCTGCGCGCGCTCGGCTTCCTGCCGCCGCACCGGTGACCGCCGGCCCGGCGCCGGCTCTTAGTCATAATATTATATTCGACGCTAGTATTAAACATATTTTTACGATCGATGGCGCTCCTCATTTCCTATACCATGCGACACCTTTACGGATTCATCTCCCGCTCCCGCGAAAGATGACTCGTTCCATAGATTGTAATTTTATCTTTGAAGCCGTCCCGTTCTGATGCACCGGCGAGAAAGTACGCACGGTGACATCGGTAGGGTCAAGTGTCCGCGCGGGTCGTACATTATGAACTGGCTGGTTTCACTGGCGACCTCGACACGCGACACCGTCCGCCGAGACTGCGACAAACATTCGTTCAAATGTTCTCTTAATGCTAAATCAATGCGCATGCCGAATTTCATGTCAATGAATTGATAGGTTGAGGAGGTAAGAGCGACGACCAAACTAACAAAGAAAGTATCTTTCACATTACATAGTATTAGTAAAGTTGAAGTTAAACATTAACCCGTCGTGTGTCAACCAATGAGACTTAGATTACCATCACAAGAAAATCATTAACTTTATGTAAAGTCGCCGAATTTTGTAGGATTTTGTAAATGTTTTGGTTGAAGGGTGATAAATGGTGGTGAAATAACAGGGTGCACGGTGCGACGGCACCACATGCTGATTTTCCGAAATGGCGATGCATTAGTGATGCCATAGATGTGATGTCATGGTGACGTGATATGTGTGCTGCAAGTTATTGTACATACGCGACGGTTACCACTTGCCATCAGGTGGGTCTAGTCTCTGTAAACCTTCATATTTCGATGTGTTTCTCTTTGTTCCATATCTTTACTATGATATAATGTTCACACAGCGCCATCTTTCTTAAAGCTTGTGTTATGGGTACTACATATCTTACAAATACATAATTTTTTTTTCGTAAATACATACATAATATACATAGAAAACACCCAGACCGACACAAACAATCATACTCATGAATACAAATGTTTGTGCCGTGCGAAGTAACGGACCATCGGACGTGTACAAAAGGTCGTCTATGTCATTCGTGAGATTCACAATGTCGGGAGTTGAGACTCGAAAAGAGAGAAGTTTTATGAAGCAAATGTTCTTATTTAATCTTATTAATATTAGATAGGCGAAAGTTTGTAAGTATGGATGTTTGTTATTCTTTCGCATAACTGCTGAACGGATTCTGATGAAACTTTGCAGTAATATAGCTTATATATCAGAATCAGGGGCGGATCTACCTAAGGATTTTTTGGGCTGCAGCCCAGAGCCCCGAGGATACAAAGGGCCCCTAGTCCCCTCTGACACGATGTTTAGAATATAATAAATATCTAGAATGTTAAAAACCTATCATAAGGTTGGCAACACAGAGATCAATCAACTCATGGGTGTGCGCGTCTATAGAAAGGAGCGGGGAGTTTCTGGTCGCTTGTTTTTGGTCGGTGTATTTTCTTAGTTGAGTTAATACTTAAATCTACTTAGGGCCCTACCTAATTATAGCCCAGGGCCCCACAAATTCACATAACGCCCCTGATCAGAATAACATATAGGTTATAAATTTCATGCGGGTACAGTTAGTAAAATATATACTAGAATATTCTACATATATGTATCTATACAGGAATACATCACAAAACAGCTATATTATTTAACATTAACACTAGAGTTGAAGACAAACGCTGTTGTAAGTATCGTTTAGAGGACTCGACATGATGCCGACGGCCACCTTTTATTTTTCATTCAGGAATTCATCCCCACACGCTGGAACCTAAGTGTTCCCGCACAGTACGGTTTCAGAGGAGCTTCCTCCCGCGTACACTTAGTTTGTGGAATAAACTTCCTGTTGAGGTTTTCCTACGACACTACAGCATGCGTCATCGGCAACGCGCACGTGATACCCCTGGTGTTTCAGGCGTTCATAGGCTACGGTATCCATTTACCATGAGATGGGCCGTGTGCTTGATTGTATAAAAAAAACTCCATAGGTCTTAAAGAATGTAATACGTAACAATTTTAATTTAGTATATTTTGGAATATCTAACAATTTACAAAAAGATACTAAAGAATATACTGGAATTACACACTTTAAATAAATTTAAAACTTGTGTTAACCATATTTACTAGGCAAAGCGTACTCACTAAACGATTACTTGATCACATACTATAAAATAAAGTCGCTGTCGCTGTCTGTCCGTCCCTATGTATACTTAATACGTAAATCTTTAAAACTACGCAACGAATTTTATGCGGTTTTTTAGTATATAGAGTGTTTCTAGAGGAAGGTTTATATATGCAATACATGTACATGTATATAGTAAATGATAAATGTGAGTGTCAATAGTTGTTCCTGCACGAGATTTTCATTAAGACAATTGACATCTACTAAATAAATAAACAATATTAGCAACTAGCTACCCACCCCGCACTTGCGCGGGTGTACATGTATTATACATATAAACCTTCTCTTGAATCACTCTATCTACTAAAAAACCAAAATCCGGACAGACAGATTTAAGTATATATACGACTTTATTTTATACTATGTAATGATATGACTTAAAAAATTATGTATAATTAGCCAGGAGGTAGGAGAAAAATATTAAGAGAAATCTTCATTAACATGAGCGACTAAGATGTTAATTTGAATTTAGTTCAAACGGATAAGAACAAATTATTACCTATTCATATGACATTACTGACGCATTGCGTTAGCTCAAAAATAAAACAAATTCGCGGCTATGTGATGACTCCAACACTACTTATAACAATAAATACATAATATTTCGAGAAAATGTAATCTGGCGATGTTTTAGTGTGAGAGAAATAAACAGACAGAGAATATTTAAAAACATTTCACTCATTTTATATTTTATCTATGTACTAATATTAGATATACAAGATATATGACATGTAGGTACAATAACAGACAAAGATAATATCACAGGTTAATACATTCATTTATTACCATCAGTATTACTATATAATATTATGTTATCTGTGGTATTACTTACAGCGCTAAATAATTACAATCTACATATTACATGCAAAATCGACACAATTACAATGTATAATTCAAATGATCGACATAAATAGATATGTAATATATTCTAACTTAATTTAAGATGACATTATTACAACGTATAATAAAAACAATATTTATAAATATTAGAGTATTAATAAACGATAACAGATAATATGTACAACGTACAGCACCATGTAGTAGTAGTCCCGAGCTAAGCAGAGCTTGTGTTAGGAGCCATGTCAGACAACTGACTATATATTATTATTAATATATATAGAAAACACTCAGACGTATACAAACAATCATACTCATGAATACAAATGTTTGTGCCGTGCCAGGAATCGAAAATTCAGCCACAGGAAGCAGGGGCGGGTCGTGAATTTGTAGGGGCCCTGGTCTAAATCTACTTAGAGGCCTACCTAATTATATTACTCAACTAAAAACAAGCGACCAGCAATGAAACCTTATAGATTTTATAACATTCTAGATAGGGCCCATTACTAACAACCTAAGTTATAGGTATTACACGCAATGATATATATAGATTAGATACATTTTTTTAATACGTACATAATATACATAAAAAAATTCAAAGTTATACAAACAATCATACTCATGAATACAAATATTGTAGTACGGTGCGAGTAATCGAATCCGCGACCATCGGAATTAAAGCGGTGTCCAAACCGGTACACTACCGTGGTCGTATAAAAAATATTTTTTATTTTATTTTATTATAAAAAAAACATTGATTCAATATTGCATTGTAAGGTTATTGAGCAGATCTAAAATTATCGAAGTAAAAAAACTTTGCAATTGACCGCCATCTAGCGGTAGTTGTCGACAACGCGTGGTTGTTATGAATTTGCAGGTGCTCACATTCGTCTTAAGTTAGTACACTCTATTGAATGACAGAGAGCGTTGCGAGAGAATAATAAGATATAATTAGCGTTTATTTTATCCATTGTAGTCTTTACTAATGTATATGTGCTTAAAAATATAATAATATGTATAAATAAAAATATAATAAAATAAATAAATAATCGTAGCATTTTCGTCGTGGCTTGCAAACTAACAACCTTATATACGTATTATAATTAACTATTGTAAGTATTGAGAACGATGTACGTTGTATGTATGTATGGTCAGTCGGGACAGTCCGTGCATTAGTCGTCTCCGTGTTTAAAAAAAACTAGAGACTGCACAGAGTCCCGCGGCTGCTACTTTGCGCAATGAATTTCGACAGTAATTCTTACAAGTGTGCTTGTATATTCATTATATTTTTACTTGCCTTTTATATTGCCTGTACTTATATATATATATATATGTACATAGAGATGGGGTTACATATGATTGAAGATATTTGTTACATACAATACCTGTTTTGTATCATGCCTTTATTATAAATAAAGTTAGTTCTATACATATAAATAAAATTGGAGTGTCTCTTTGTAATATTGAAATAAACGTTTTTTACTACATGCATATATACAAAAAATGTAAAAAATGCTATTATTATCTATGCCTGGTGTGTACATATACCAATGTAGGTACACACCAAAATAACATTTTTTACGATTTTTGTCTGTCTGTGTTGTTTGTTCCGGCTAATGTCTGAAATGGCTGGATTTTGAAAGGACTTTTATTGGTAGGTAGTTGATCTAATAAGGAGCAACATACATTACACTACTTACTTTCGCTACTTTCATTTTAGATAATAAAGTTAAATTCCACGCGGATTAACTCGCGGGTTTAGGTACAGCTAGTAAAAAATATAAATTCGACACTGGTAGTACATATCACGTTGTATATGGAAGTTGTGAGGAGTAGCGTGTACAGAAACATAGGGATGAGGCGCGTCGTATGGCTGCTACATAAAACGACCACACTCGGCGCTGGGTGGTGGGTGGTGGGTGCTCCAAATGATTTGTTTAAATTAGTGTATGTAGGTAGCTAGTAACATGAGATATATAATTGTATATTTCAAGCGGTAATTTAAATAAAAACATCAGCGGCTTGATAAGGGTGTTATCTCGAAACAACGCACTCTGACCCCGTATGAGGTA